GCCGGGCCGGCCAAGGGGCCGCGGCTGTGCCGCACCAGCTGTCCCGGGGCTGCGGAAGGACGGCACCGAGCACGGCGGAGCGGTGCCATCAGCCTCGGTTTCCTCAGGAAACGGCTGGGAGCCGTGAGCAGCCCGCAGCCAAAACCTGCTTCAGATTTAAACCTTGCCCTAGGAAACGGAGCCCGGGATTCCCTGGCACCTCCGGAGGGAGCTGGGAACTCACGTAGGCAGCCGCTGGCGGAGAGGCCACGGGCCCGGGCTGGGCTCTGCGGCCCGCTGTGCTCTCTGCATAAGCTCGGTTCGCCTGGAAGTCCCCGGCACCTGGAGGGGAAATGGCCCTGTTTGTTCCCTCCTGAACTCTTGGGGCACTCCTGACTGACGCTTGGAGAGCGCAGAAAAGAATCCTCCCAAAATGAAAATGCAGGGGACGTCATCAGGAGCCAGTGTAGTCTGAGCTTTCTTGCAAAATGTTAAGCGCTGAAATGCTCGTCTGCCAAAGAGATCAAAGCTAATAAATCAGGAAGTTTTCAGTTTGGCAAAGGCAACTTTGCTGAAGCCACGTACAGCATGATACTGCAGATCTGCTCTGTAGCCAGCACTCGTCCCATACAACATCCAGATGTGCACACTTTGTGGGGTTGGCTAAGGGCAAGTGAACCTGAACCCAGACAGAACTTCCAAACGTGCCTTTCCCCAAGGTTTACTGCCAGCACATGATCCCTGAGCTTCTTTTACATCAAGACTAATTAATCCCATCTCTGTCAGGAGGCCACAAGCTTCTAGAAATCAATCTGAAGTAGCAATTCCCAAAGAGAAGTGTCTATTTTTACAGTGCTGATGTGGAGATGGTGATCCTTTTTCTGGCAACCGTGGAGAAATTCCTCTCACCAGCATTGTCCACCTGCGTGTGACAATAATAGCTTGTGACTCAGGATGATGGGGTATGTGACACTTCCATCTCTCTCACAGTTGAGTCACTGGCCGGGATGGGATGGGCCCAGCTGGGAAAGCAGTGTGCAGGATGTGTCTCAAGTGTGCAGCCAAAGCGGACAGGTCCTTTTCATAAGCCTGCCTGTGGGACCGTAGGTAAATAAGGATAATTGATGTGAGCCAGAGTAAGTGCACGGCCTCAGAAGGGCTGTGTTTCCTCTCTCTGTCCCTTATACCCAACCCTGGCTGTGAGGAAGTGCAGCAGCATCTTCTGGCTCCTGGGCGAGAAGGAGGAGCAGGGAGTGTCAGCCAAGGCATGAAGCACAGCTGCCAGGCACCATACCGCCCTGTCCTCCTCCAGCGCTGCGCTTCACCCCGTGGAGGGCAGAGGCACAGCACCTGCTGCACGGGGCAGTGGATGGGTACACTCTGCTCTCCACCTGCTCCACGAATAGTTGTAGTGAGATAATGCCATTGGAGTGTTTACAATTCATACTTAACTGATACTCGTTTTTCAGGAAAAGTCCTAGAGTAGATTTTTATTTGTTCACTTCTTTCACAACTCTTTCCTGTTCAGGCTTTATTTTGGGCCAGCATTAAGGGTGTATACTTTCCCTAATATTTGTTATTTTGCATTTGGAGCTCTTTTATTGTTTTTTTAACTTCAAAATTGTGGCATTTCTAATGTGTTATGAGGGTGTTTTCTGCAGATCTTCCATACATTTTCTCTTTGGTTCTTTATTGTATAACTTCACTCTAACTTCGCTCTTTCATCTAGAAATTTTACAGTGGAAGAAATGCACTTCAGCATAATGTTATGCAAGTGTAACAATTAATTCAAACATTTCTTCCACGAAGGAAAACAGAAAATCTTCTAAGCATGCAGAAACTGAAGGCTCAAGTCTGCTTTTACTTATTCTAACATCAGTCAGGAATCACACCAACAAGTTTCATCTGGGTGGAGTTAGCAGTGGAGAACTAGTCCTGGATTTTCACAAGTGCACTTTTCAAAGTACTGATCCTTCAGAATATGTCCTCAGATAACCCCAGCTCTAGAATAGCACTCATAAAGTCAGCAGTGGGGGCAAAAAATATTTAGGAGAGGGAGGGCTATGGGATGAACCCCCCAGGTATTAAAGCCCTTTGGCAAGAGCAGCTGCACCACACGATGCAGACCTGCCAGCAACAGCAGTGGGATGGCTCGGCCAGCAGTAGCAGGTGAGCTGGAGCAACGTGGAACTCAGCATGAGCTAAGCTCCCATGGGCTTTTCCAGCATTTGAGCCACATTTTTCTGCCCATGCCAAGCTCCACGTTGTTGCTTGCTTGCTCTTAGTGGATACCACGCTCCTCCAGGTAACCCAAGCGGAGCTGTTGGCCTCACGGCTGCAGCCTTGTACAGCTGTACCTGTACAGAGCCTTGTGCAAGCCACGACAGCCCCCAGCCCATACTACATTACACTGACATGAGCCTGGCAGGGTTTCAGCTAGGTAAAGCTGCTCTGACTCTTAGTTCTTGCATTGTGAGACTTGGGGTTCAAATTTTGGGATTGCTGTCTTGCTCATTCAGCGTCTTGGAAAAGGCGTCATTAAGGCCCAGCAACAGGAAGAGATGGGACAGCTGAGCTGAGGGCAGCATCAACTTAGCCAACACAGAGCCCCTCTCTAACTCGCTTTGCAGGGAGTAAAAACATCAAACTTTTAGATGCAGGAAGTGATGGGGAACCTCTTAAGGTTCATCAAGCAAATAGCATGATTGGTCTGCCTTTTTTTTTTTTTTTTTCTCCTTTCTATATATGATTAATCTTTTAAACAACTGGTTTCCATTCTGACTTAATTTGCATTTTAGGCTGCATTTTGAGACTGATTTTTATTTTATTTGGATCTGACACAAATGTTTGATTCCAAGTGCCTCTGAGGTTAACAACATGAGGCAGCTCTCATTTTATCTGAATGGTTTGGGCTGAGCTGAAATGTAAACTTTGGACAGGACAGTTTACTTCCCAGATGTTCCTCTCCATGTTTTTTCAGATTGTCCCACTTCCCAGAAGTAACTGGGGGATGGTCTCAGTGTGGCAATGTGGCCAGGAATTTTGATGTAATCTCTTGTATATGTAAAAGGCAGGAGGTGCCCCTCCAGCATTCTTTATCAATTAAAACCTAGACTCTGTATGATATCTATCCTAACTGCTCATAACTAGCATAGCACAAGCAAGGATCAACTCTTTCCTTATAGGATCAAGGTGTTTATATTATCTTTTGTGGCTGTGGCAGGAGAGGCTGGCTACCTGCCCTACAACATCTCCTATCTCCATTCTGCCAAATAGCTGCCTATGCTTCTCAGGGTAATCCAAGAAAAAAAAGCCCTTTTTCTGTTTCTCACAGAATTC